TTTTTTTTTTTTTTTTTTTTTTTTTTTTTTTTTTTTTTTTTTTTTTTTTTTTTTTTTTTTTTTTTTTTTTTTTTTTTTTTTTTTTTTTTTTTTTTTTTTTTTTTTTTTTTTTTTTTTTTTTTTTTTTTTTTTTTTTTTTTTTTTTTTTTTTTTTTTTTTTTTTTTTTTTTTTTTTTTTTTTTTTTTTTTTTTTTTTTTTTTTTTTTTTTTTTTTTTTTTTTTTTTTTTTTTTTTTTTTTTTTTTTTTTTTTTTTTTTTTTTTTTTTTTTTTTTTTTTTTTTTTTTTTTTTTTTTTTTTTTTTTTTTTTTTTTTTTTTTTTTTTTTTTTTTTTTTTTTTTTTTTTTTTTTTTTTTTTTTTTTTTTTTTTTTTTTTTTGTTGATGAAGGTCAAAATATTGAACTTATTGGGCCCTTTGAACAGGTATTTCCTGCCTTGATAACAATTATCTTGTACATTTCCTGATTGCTACAGCTAGGGCACCAATAATATGACTAACTGTTTTCTATGTGCGACATTAGGTTTTCATGGAAATAAGATGTCCTGATGGTCGAGATGGTGGAAGGAAGGATGCTTTCCCTGCAACTCATGAAGAAATTCATCCAACAGGAATGCTCAGTGTCGTCGCTAGTCTTACACCTTGGTCAGATCATAATCAGAGCCCACGAAATATGTACCAGTGTCAGGTTCTTATTAGTTTTACCCTCCTGTCTGTCCTTGGTCATTGTTGAATGGAAGCTCTATGTTGTATAAAGCTCTTGCTATATTTTGGAATCTGCTTACTCTCAATTTGTTACATTCTATTTGTCTTTGAATTATATAGATGGCAAAACAAACAATGGCCTTCTCTTTACAAGCACTTTGCAATCGTGCAGATCAAAAGCTGTATCATCTTAAGGTTGGTTCCTTTTTATCTTGTTATTTCATTGTATGTACAAAATCATATGAGATAATTTAAGTTACTGAGTTCATATATGAACGCGTAGTTGGTCAGGGACTGCGCAGTGATTAATTGTCTTATCAATCTTATTATGGTCTCTTTTTGTGTTCACGCTACTAAATCTTTGACTGGTCCTGTACAATTTCTGCTCTATCCTGCCAATATTTCATTGTGGGGACTCTGAGTTAATATTGTTGTAGAAGTGGCAACTCACTTGTTTAAGTGGGCTTCATGCACTACTACATCATAATTGTCTGTTCATCTCTGGATGAATGTTGGTTCATGGTTAATATATTCTAGTGTGTGTACCTTTTTGTGCAAGGGAAGCATGTGACCAAACTTGTTGTAGAAGTGACAAATTCTCTTATTTAAATAAACTTCATTCACTAGTACATAGTTTCTGTCTTTTCATCCCTTGATGAATGTCGGTGCATGGTGAATGTTTTCTAGCCTCTGCACCTTCCTTGTGCAAGGGAGACATGCGCCCTTATAGAAGTGACAAATTCTCTTATTTAAATTGATTACTATTTTATAGTTATCGTCTGTTCATCATGCTTTTTTAATGCTTTTTTTTTCCCCTCACACTGTTCATTGTTATAATGGAAACTTGGGCATTCTCAGACTCCTCAGTCTCCCATTGTACGTACAAGTGCATATAAGAAGTACTGCATTGATGAATATCCAACAGGCACAAATGCAATCGTTGCTGTACTGTCATATACTGGGTGAGAAATTTAGATGCATAAAGCTTATTTGTAGTTGTTTCTTTTCTTTTTTACCATTTATTAGTTGCCTTTTTTTTTTTCTTATGACACCTAGGTATGATATGGAGGATGCCATGATTTTAAACAAGTCATCTGTGGATCGTGGAATGTTTCATGGACTAATTTATCAGGTTTTATTTCGGGCAGTATTATGATGCTACTATAAATAGTCTTTCTTCTTTGTTACTTAAAATGCCACTAGAAGTTCCCTACAAGTGTATGCATTATGTTCTGCTTTTTATTAATTTGTTTTGAGGTGCCTCATGGGATCAGTATACTGTAGGTTTTGTTTTGGTCATGGTAGTTAGTGGTTATGTTCATGCTTAAATATCACTCAGCTAGTAAATTGGAGGCTAGACCTAAATTTTTAAATACGGTATTCATGTGTTAAGAAAAGGCAGAGCATGACGAACTTTCATGTCTGATAAATTGGAGTATTAGAAAAATCCTGTATTCATGTTGCCCTATGCATTTCGTATATGTGCACTTATGGTTGTGCCCTATATTAACTGTTGAAAGTCATTTTTACAGAGCAATTTCAGGAATTTTATTAGAAGTTCCTTCATATTCATCTGTTTTTTTTTTCTTGATACCAAGTCAATGTCTGTACTGATGGTTGTGGTTTTCTTGTTCTTTAACTTATACCCTTGCTCACCTAATAATGGTTTTTTTCAGACAGAAACAATTGACTTGTCTGATCAAAAGAGCAGGTCAGATAGATCACGGAAATTTTTTAGGAGAAGTAACATCAATAAGAATTCCTCGATCGATTCAGATGGTCTTCCTTATGTTGGTCAGGTTAGCATTCGTTTCTGGAATTTTATTTTCTTCTCTGTGTTTCTTGTTCTGTATCATGTCGAACCCAGATAGTTGGGATCACCGAAAATTGGAGATGATATAGATATACCGTTTACTCAATAATGTAGTTTGATGATCCAAAGCCATCATCCTTTAGATACCTCCTCAATTTTGATCCCTGAAAAAAAAAATAGACAAATCGGAAACCGTATAGAAAAACTCAGTCCATTGATAAAAATGAAATGGTTGTGATGGTAATTAAGTGCCCAAGTGATTTCTGGTTTTGCCGATAATATACACAAACATAAAACATAAATTTTCTCCTTGGATAATTGTTTGCTTAGGTTTTAGGTTTTAAATTTTGGGTTTTGGGTGGAGGAGAACACCCGATAGTTAAAACAGAAAATCTAAGCTTGTACGGAAATTACTAAAGCAACTTTGTAGTGTAGGCAATAATAAAATGGAATAGATTGATAAAAACTTGGCAGCAGCCAGAAGCTACAAGGGTCGGTTGATTGGCCTCCTCTGCTTGGTGACCGGTGTTTGTGTCAAAACAAAATCCGGACGCTAACGTCCGGGTAATTGAATAATACTTTATATGTAGTTGTACATGTGCACAGTTGGCTCCTGCAACTGAAGGTTCCTATATATGTTCATATATGTACATATGTGTATACTGATCCTATTCTATGTGGAATTTCAGACAATAAAACCCATGAAGAATTGTATAGCATTCATAATGAGGTGACAAATGAGTCAAGATCCATCAAACACAAAGGTTCAGAGCCTGTTATCGTTGACTATGTTGCTATTGATGGGAAGAAGCTTCTTCAGAAGGTAAGTGGACAACCTTTATTCTGGTTCCTAATTTTGGTTCTTGGACACTGAATTTGAAAGTTTGAATATATTGAATTTTGCACCATTTTTTATGTGCGTAGTAGGGGCATTTAGTCTTTTGCCCACAGTTCTGCACCATTTTTGCTCGCCACTACAGAAAAGAGAGTGAACTTACGTTCATGCAGATTTTCATTATTTGGTTTGTGATTTAGATGACATTTCAAGTGTCAGTTTTCTTCCAGACTATTGTACTCCAGTCTTCAACCCGTGTATAGTTGGGGAAATTTGGTTTAAGGGTTATGTCCCCACTCTTTTCTATTATTTTTCATCATTTCTGTGTACCCAAACTGAGGAAAGACTCGCCCTCTCTACAGTTAATTGTTTTGGCTTCATTTAATGTGATTGTTAAGAGCTATACTTGCTCTGAAACAAATCTATCTGTATATGCTTGGTATTTATAAACAAACAAGCTGAGAGTAATTTGTTCCATTTCGTTTCCTAATGTTTTCTGAAATATATCAAGCATTGCAGGTGACTTGAACATCCAACTGTAATATTTTTCATCTTGAATCTTCCTAGTTATCATGAGAACTATAGGTTAATCTTTGTTAACAAAATTTATCCCAGATTTGCTCATTATACTATTCGTTTTTTATTTTTCCTGAATTGTATTGATTTCTATTTTCTTTTTTGAGCAGGCGAGCATACGCTTTCGACACCCTAGAAACCCTATCATTGGTGATAAATTTAGCAGCCGACATGGACAAAAGGGTGTTTGCTCCCAGTTGTGGCCTGATGTTGATATGCCATTTTCTGGGGTTACAGGAATGCGTCCAGATCTTATCATCAATCCACATGCATTCCCCTCAAGGATGACAATAGCAATGCTCTTGGAATCAGTCGCTGCAAAGGTACTAGCACCTAAAGAATTCATTTTTATGATGTTAAAGTTATTTTAAAAATGCACAGCCAGTGCACCCCTGTAGACAAAGCACAGATGTTCTTGTCTGTAGTGATTCGGACTGTTGTAAGGTAGCAGTGATAAGGTGCTTTAAAGGTAATTTGGGATTTGGTAATGTTTAAATAGGACTTTAGGAAAATGAATCTTGATTGGCATCAAGTTTCCGGAAAGGGAAATACAGATAACAGGATTTTGTGAATTTTCAGCGGAACGAACAATATATTTTATATATATATATATATATATATATATTTTGGGTTATAGTCTTAGTTTTTTTTATTTTTTGTCATAATAGAGTTTTGGTTTAGTAATTGTACGGGCATAAATTTATATTTTGATGCTTCCTGTTTCTCTCATACATGATATGTAGGGTCGTAGTGGTAGATGTTGTAAAGTGTGCTATTTTCTGATTTTGTGTAAGGCGGAAGCACCAAAAAAAATAGTTTTCCATTAACTGGTCATCAAAAGATCAAATTACTCTGGAATTCATCTCGAGTCTACATTTTCTTCCCCTTGTATGCCATATTTTAGATTTGTTTTTCTTCATTAGAATATCAGAAGATGTCCGTTTATATGCTTGCATGTTTCTTGTCACAGGGAGGTAGCTTACATGGAAAATATGTTGATGCAACACCATTTGCTAATTCAAAGAATGTTAATGAAGAGACTCCACCACAATCGAAAACACTTGTTGATGAACTTGGGGAAATGTTAAAGGTTAAAGGGTTTAACTACCATGGTACAGAGGTAATGTACAGCGGGGTCTATGGGACAGAACTCACATGTGAGATCTTTATGGGTCCTGTTTATTATCAACGCCTACGACATATGGTTTCAGACAAATATCAGGTAAGAAATCACCAACTCAGATTTTTAACCACATGAAGTTTTAAGATTTTTTCAGAGTTCCATTTTCGATTATTGGTTGCCTCACATGTGACACTCCAATTCTGCATGCAGGTTCGTTCCACTGGAACGATAGACCAGATCACCCACCAGCCTATCAAGGGACGAAAAAGAGGTGGTGGTATACGTTTTGGTGAAATGGAGCGAGACTCTATGCTTGCCCATGGGGCAGCATATCTGTTGCACGACAGGCTTCATACGTGTTCCGATTATCACATTGCTGATGTATGTTCTATATGTGGAAGCATCCTAACGACCTCATTCGTCAAGCCAGAAAGACGGGTTGGACGTGCAGTTAAGGGACTGCCGCCCATAAGAGCCTCAAAGAAGGTCATTTGCCATGCTTGTCAGACGAGTAGAGGGATGGAGACTGTTGCAATGCCTTATGTCTTCAAATATTTAGCAGCTGAGTTAGCAGCTATGAACATAAAATTGACCCTCCAGCTAAATAATGCAGCGTGAGCTTGACCTCATGTTCCTCAAATGAGGATGTTCAATTGATGAAATGATATAGCGGCCGAGACTCTTGCACAATCTGTAGGTAATGGAGAGCTGAAAAGGTGTTTAGATATGGTTACAAAAATGATACGAGAATGTTGGGGAGTGGGGGAGGCTGCTTATATGTATTTATAAATGGCCAAGAGGGTTTTGGCTCTCTCTTCATCATTCTTATGTACACTGAGATGAGTAAATCTTAAAATTTTTTGCTTCCCCTTTTCTTTGTTGGGTATGAGTGCAGATAGTAATTACTTTGTACATTAGACACCATTGAAGGCCTGGAAAGAACATTATCATGATGTAGTTCATTATCATTTTCCAATGTAGTCTTGGACAAAATTGATAACACATATTTGATGACCATAACAAAGGTGAGAAAAAGAAAGACGGTACAGGTCGAAAGAGAAACAAGTGGGCATGGAGCGGTTCGGGAGATAGCTCAAAGATAAAACTTCAACAATTTTTTCTTTGAAACTTCAACCATCATATAATACGATTAATTAGTATGGGTCAATTTAATTAAGTGATTATAGAATACTATGGTAGTATTCTATAATCACTACCACAATGCCTTGTCTTTGCACTATGCTACATTTTACTTTAGACAACACCAAATAGGTTGAATTGTGGGTAGTTAGTTATAACTATTGTTGTATTTTGCTTGTATGCTTTCATGTTTACACGACTTTCCCAACCCATTGAACATGAAACTTCACTTCAATCAATCCTTCCCAGCATCTGATATGGATAAATTTGTTTTGATTTCTTTTCTTTTTTCAGATTCATCTCTCTTTCTCTGTGTTTCAATTTGGTGAATGGTTTGAGATTTTTTATTATTTTAGTGATGCATTATGAATATATATATTATGAACTGCATGTTAAAAATTGTCATGCTACATTGGAAGTGGTATTATTTGCCTAATCTTGGCATAGTGCTAAGAATAGTTAAGTTTTATGAACTGCATGTTAAAAATTGTCATGCTACATTGGAAGTGGTATTATTTGCCTAAACTTGGCATAGTGCTAAGAATAGTTAAGTTTGGAATCACAAAGTGAGAACTTAAAGACAAACACCAGGGCATTGTACATGGCCTTATATATAATGGTTGAAGCTGGTCCCAGCTTTCGGCTGCTTTCCTTGCACTTTTTTGTTTGATATTCAAAGCCTATAAGATTGATGATCGTTATACAATCCCAAAAGGAAAAAGAAAAGAATAAATCTCTACCCCAAATTGGCATATTGCTTCCTGTTATTCAAGTTAATTATGTTGTATGTTTGTTCTTTTTTTGTTCACAATGATGACTTTGTAATTGTTTTTCATATTAGCATATTACTTTATGTTTCTCATTCATTTTATTGATGGTTTTGTGATTGATTTTCAAGTTGGGGTAAAGAATTAGGCTAAGTACAAAACTAATATACTATTTTGGAGTATATTTATGGGTAATGATTTCCCCACTCCTATTTTATCCACTTACACTCCTTTTTTAGTTATAAAAAAGGAGTGTAAGTGGATAAAATAGGAGAAATAGGAGTGGGGAAATCACCACTCATATTTATTTGGCAACTTGAATTTGTAATATTTTCATTGTATCTGTAGGAATTTTTTACACATCATGACTTGGGTTTTTTAGATTTATAATTATTGGTTTCTGTAAAGTGAATGTATTCAACAATGCTTTCAATTACATGAATGAAGTTTATGTTGGCTTTGATGAGGATATAGTACCACTGAGAATAAGCTTTTATAGTAAATTCAACTGTTAAATCATAGTTTACTTTATATGCCAATTGAAA